CACGTATTGATCGTGTCCTCTGAGATACTTTTAGAACTGTTTGTCTCAACTTCAGATTGCGGATATTGCTTCTTGGAAAATCATATAAAATTGTACTTGATGATGAATTCAAACAGAGGAGAGAAATTCTGTTAGAACTTACAATTAAGGGTCAACTGGTAGGGATTCAATCAATTATTGGACCATAGTTTCTATTACAGAAAAACATTCAACAATAATAAAGCAAATGGGAATACAAATACCAGCATTTTTAAAATGAGAAATTCATTTTAGTAATAGAAAAATTTTCCTTCTCAAGCTTAACTCCATGAACATTGAAAAAAATCATATTTCAAATAACAGTTTTCTCTCTCAGAAGTGGATTTAATTGGTTAATTATCTTCAAATTCTTTAAAAAAAAATCTGTTTTGATTTTGTCTCTAAATTTCTATAACACTTATTTTTCCTTTGTGCCTAGGGAAGAATCCCTATTGAACAGATAATGTTGATAAAATAGAAATATGTCTATATCAGAATGGAATCTAATTGTATTGAAGGCAGTTATAGAACATGTTCTTAAGTACTTATGGACTGTTGTATATTGTAAAAGGTCTGCTGGCATTCACATAAGTGCAACACTTCGGTCAAGTTCGTTTTCATACTTTTAAATGGCATATTCACTCATTTCAGTTTGATAAATAAGCAGGTGTGCCCAGGTATTTGATATTTTGTACATGTAGTATATGCATATTTGATTTAATTTAAATGTATAAATCTAGAATTTATTGATGGTACAGTGGTTTTTGTAAGGAGATGATAAAGCAGTTTAACTGTTATTTAAAGATGAAAATGTAAATTTTGTGTTAGTATTTATATCTTTAAATCTCATGATAGCTAATATACCTTGCCATAATAAGGTCTTAGTTTTAAAGACCATCATATCTCATAGACATCAATTTGGGAAAGGACAGTTACTTTTATAGTATAGCACATCAACTGAAGTCTGTCAGAACTCTGTCTACTTATGAATGAAAGGAGATGTAGGGTTGTGGGGACGATTTCTTAGTATCTGACTCTAACATAACAAACAAAGGCTATTCAGTTTGATGTTTTACTTGTTACAAAGCTAAGATAACCACGACCTTGGATACAAAGGTAATTCAAGACGTTGCCAGTCCTGCCATCTTCTCAACATTCTCGGTTCCTCAAAAAAGGTGCTTTAAGTAGAAAAGGAAATTGAATTACAAAATATATATAAATTAAATTAAATTAAAATTAGAGTCTCTCAACTTAACATTTTTCACAGATCTTTCACGGTTAAACTAAACGTAGTTCATATAATAAATCATATAACAGTCCATATTCATAGGGTCAGACATTTTTAAACAAATATACTTGATCACTTTACTTCGAAAGTCCATAAAGATTTTCTCTTTAATCATTGTCGTGTTTCCAAGGTAACTTTGCATAATACTTGTTGTCTCGAAACTATATTGAAGATTCTTGATAACATCTTATATAATAATTCTCTTTTTCGTGTACTTCTTGAGATTCAATTTCCATAGCTTTAAGCTTCCAAAACGCTTCAAAGTTGAGTTCCTTGGTTTTATGTGAAATAAATACATTGAAAATACTTGAGGCTGTTGATAACTGTGATTTTCCTGAATGCAACGGTCCAGAAAGCAGTGGTACCTGAGTTTCAATTTGACTGCGTTGGGTCCGTTTCCACGTACAAATTTATCTTCCAACTATTTCCCAATAAAAATCAGCTCCAATTAACAATGAAATTTCTAAGGTATCCTGTTGCGTAACTGGGTGTGCAAACTTTAGTCCTTTCAAATAGTTACTGTTCTGTTTATGTAACGAATGTGGTTCTGTAACGGTGTAGCTATCATAGGAACGATTAAAACCTCTATTGGAATTTTATGTTCTGTTTCAGTTACAACATATTCTGTAGCTTTATCAAGTCGCCTAGCATTCATGTTGGTTCCTCCAAATGATGAAAATTGAATATTATCAGCTCTTTCTCTCTGCAAGTTCAATTTACGCGCAAGATTCTCCGTTACAAAAGATCTTTGAGCGCCTTCATCAAACAAAATGTTCGCATCTGTGCAATGACAATCTGACCAATTGGGGGCCACAGCGGTTTTCAGCAGTACATTTGAGCAAAATTATGCTAACAAGTGTAAAATTGTTGAGTCTTCTTGTATCTCAGTATCCTTCACAAGATTTACTATAGTTGTGTGTAGATGGCGTACTTTCATTCTTGCAACTGTTAGCAGTATTATTCGTGTAAGTAAAACAGTTGTTACTTACCTTGTCAGGGTTCTCGGTGTGTACAACTTCACTACATAAACTAGTTTGGTTGTTTACTACAGTTATCACATGAGCTTTCGATTTGCATTCCTTTATGCGATGTCTACTGAGGCAGTTGAAACATAAATTGTTACGTTTAACGATAGCAAGCTAAGCCAAGTTTCTGATTCACATATTTGCAGGCAATTGGTAGGCGAATGAATATCTTTGCAGAAAATGCATGGCTTAGCTGTGAAATGCTGATGTACATTTCTAGTAGTAGTATTGTGTTTTCTTTGTGATTTAACACCGGCGAAAAAAGTTGAAGTCGAAATATCACTTTCTGTCTGCGTAACTTGTCCGGCTTTTATAATTTGTATCTCTTTGTGTATACTTCTTCAGAGATCTTGTAATAGCCAATTTGTCGTACCATGTTCCTGAGCGAGATTTTTCTGATTTCTCTGGGCAGTTTAATATAATAGGAAGTAATAAATTACAGTATCAGTCCTGTGTTTGTCCAAGCAATTCAAGTCGTCTAACTAAACTCTCCATTTTGTCATAAAAGGTTCTCACGCTTATGAGGTTATTTTGAGGTGGCATAATATCAAGAAGTGCTTGTAGGTGAGCTTGCGTAATTTTATGTGTCTGTCCAAATCTCTCTTTAAGAACATTTACGGCTTCAGAATAATTAGTGTTAGTGAAAGAAAATCCGGCAATTGTCTGTGCGACTTTGTTTTCAAATTGGGTACTCAAATAATAGAACTTTTGTACATCTGTTAATGTTGGGTTGTTATGAATTGCTGATTCATAAGAATCCCGGAAGCTTTGCCATTCTAATATATTGCCATTGATTGTTGGTAATGTTAATTTTGGCAAACGGTGATTGCTAGATATAGCGAATGGGACAGCATAGCATGACATAGGAATTGATGAAGCAATGTGGCTTGTCTCTGTTAAAATTCGAACGACATTACTTGACTGTGGCAATGATGGGGCGACATAATTTGTCTGTACAATTTCAGGTGAACTAGTAGGGATAAACCGTAGATTGTCTACATTTAAAACTTCATAAGATGAATGTGATGTTTGATTTGAAATAGGTTGTGTTGTTTATCTATAAATTTTCTAAAATGTCTCAGTTTAGTAACAAAATTTGTAGTATACTCATCTGTGTCTACAATTTCAGTCTCTATATCCTCTGTTTCCGATGCATTTACAATTTGTTCATTCAGTGTGTGGAGTAACTTCTTCTGTTGTAATTTATCATACATGGCTAACAGCTCCTCTCTATTGAAATTCAGAATTTTCCTTTGCCTCGGCAAATTTTTGTAAAAGTCTTGTAACAGCACTACGATTGCCAGTTCTAATCGACTTGAGCTTAGGTAACTCCATTAGTCAGGTCAACATAAATTTGGGGACGATTTCTTATCATCTGACTAACATAATAACATATTTTAATGTAATAAGCAACATCTATTCAGTTTGACGTTTTACTTGTTACTAATCAAAGCTAAGGCGACGTCACTGATGTGATGTCGACCTTGGATACAAAGGTTATTCAAGACATTGCCGGTCCTGCGGCCTTCTCAACAAGGGTAAATATCAATTAGACGCCAACCAAATGACACAAAAAAACAAAAGCCATCTAAGCATTGACATACAGTCTGCACCATCCATCTTTATCTTAACTTCTTGTTCAACAAATGATAACAAATTTGACTGAAAGTTTTCTTTGGGCTCTAATATGAATCAAATGAAGTCCCATAATAAAGCAGTATTCTCATTCATGCTAAAGCATACAGGCAACCATACATTCTTATTATCATGATATTTACTAGTGATGTTAAGTTGCTGTCTCATCGAAGATTATGAGCCTCCATGGCTGAGTGGTCTACATAGTTCATCTACAGTGATTGATTGATAGTCTGCCAACTCTGAGGTTGTGAGTTTGAACCCCCCTCATGGTAGATTTTCTGCTTAAGGTTGTGGTTCTCTCTGGGTACTCCGGTTTCCTCCACCCAAAAAAAACATAACTGGACACTATGCTCTAGCCAAAGTTGCTGGAAGTGATGTTAAACATCAACATACATCAACATACAAACAGTAGTGATTACTCCACATCTCCTTATATGGATGTCAAACACCAACATACAAACAGTAGTGATTACTCCACATCTCCTTATATGGATGTTAAACACCAACATACAAACAGTAGTGATTACTCCACATCTCCTTATATGGATGTCAAACACCAACATACAAACAGTAGTGATTACTCCATATCTCCTTATATGGATGTTAAACACCAACATACAAACAGAAGTGATTACTCCACATCTCCTTTTATGCATTTTGATACAACTATTGGACCTCAAGTATAGAACTTTTTAATCAATTATTGTTTGATATGAATTGAAATTTTTAAAAAGGATTTCTACTTTGGTAACTCACTCACTACTTAGATTTATACTGGACATTAGTGCAAACGTTTTGCCAGACCTTCCTAAACAAATGGATACTAAAAGTGTCAAGACATATTTTTTCTTAAAAAAATAGATAAATATGGCTTCTTTAGTGGTTCATTTATGATAAAATGGTACTACTTTTGGAGATAAGTGCAGAAAAACAAGTTAAAATAAGATATGGTAGGAAACTCTAACCACATTTAGCAGTACTAAAAATTCATATGCAGTGATTTATTAAAAACTTTTATGTTTTTGTTACAGGAGGCAAACAAACGCCTGTCTCTTCCAGCCGATATGCGACTACCAAGCCATAGGTCTAGAACAAACCTAAGTAGTCCTGAAGGTCAGCTGAGTCGACGGTCCAGGAGGAAGTCTCTTGTAAGCATTACAATTTAATATTTAGTTAGTTTGATGATAATTTTTCTTTAGACCTATTAGCTGTAGGCCTAATAAAGTGGTATTGCCAACATATGAGTGCAATAAAAAGGATAGTTACTTTTATCTGACCTGATCATTGGCAAATTTTAATTGTACATGTATTTTCATCATTTTAACATATTCTGCATAAAATATGATTGTCCTCCAAAAGAAGGTTTATAGCTGAATAATATTTGGTACTTAAAGCTTCATATATGTAACACATATTGTTTGACACATTTTAAGATCTGTCACATATCAACTTCTTATTTGCTACATATAGATTCTACCACTGCATCGAGTGTGATACCATATTTATCCACTCAAGACAGTTAAATTTTCAAATTTAAAACGCGAGGCTTGCCGAGCGTTTTAAATATTTAAAATTTAACTGTCGAGAGTGGATAAATATCGTATTACACGAGATTTGGTGGTGGAATCTGTTTCTCTAATGATTTTCAAACAATACGCAGGCAAATTTATTCCTTCTTTTCGAATGATCTGCAAAAAGATGTGTTCTTTCTATGTGACGTCATCAGGCATGGTCGCCTTTTTTCATGCCGTCACAATAGGAAATTCAGAGGAAAGCAAGAAAATTTGACGTCATAATCGGATTTAAACCAATGAAGAACTGAGATCAAACGAACCACACGTTGATTAAATTTTTTTTATACAATGGGTGCAGAAAGGGATAAATTGACGAAGAATTAGAGAAATATATTTATATTCTTGTCACATTGATTGGTCGTGTCCTCTGAGATAAAAAAAATTGTCAAATTATTCTCAGCAACTAGTTTGATTTTTGGTACTGAACTTCGTATTGGTTAGCTGTATAGGGTGGTACTTTTTCAGATATATCACTTCTCTTCTTGTTTGTAAGATACATGTAAGTTCTGTACATAGATTCATATGTCAACAAAATTTGTTGCATTTTTCTCAGCGATTACAAATCTTATCTTCTCGATATTTGTTACCAAATTTAAATGTTGGTAAGCCAAATGGTGCTAATCTACTTACTGCTTCCACATTTTGTTGTAAATATATCTCCTTTAATTCAAAAGCAGGAGTCAGGCCATAATACATGTTCCAGTTGAAACAAATATTCTATACCCCTTATTCCATAAGGCCAGTGGAAATGATATTACAGAATATTTCTTTCAATTTCAACTTATATTATGATGGAACTTCTATTTCAATATGAGTTATCGAGGAATAGCTCACACACTATTGTGATTTTCTTGGAATGTGCTTTAGATCTTAAGTGAAATTCAGGGAACTTAATCACATAGAATAATTCAAAGGGGATATTTTTCTTACAACATAATTCTAAAATTAATTGTCAAGTAGTTTTCTTAATTTTTCAAACTATGTATAATTGCACCCATCAAGGTCTCTGAATCATAAAAATAAAATGATGAAGACCATGATCCTACTTTGTCAAGGTCACCCTATCAAGGCATGACTTTAAGATGTTTTATTTAGATTCACAAAGGTAAAGGATGCTCACAAGTGCACGCGGGAAGATGCTGCATGTGTTATCATTTATGTTTACAATTTATTTTAAATTTAGATTATGTAATTCAGGAATTGTTCTTTATTTTTAAACTGTTGGGAAGTAATCAAATATTTTAGAATGCTGTTTATATAAAATAGTTCCATAGAGGATATTTACATGAAACAACAATCTCATGGATCACTAGGTAATAAGCAATATATACTTTATTTGCTCATTATCACTGTGACATGTTGTCATCACTTGACATCCATCTATCAATAACATTAGTATTTGCTGCTTCTCTGCTTAGCACCCAGCATTAATGAGTAAGAGTAAAGACTGGTTGGCTCAGAGTCAGACTAATGGGGGTATCATTGGGGTGTTCAGATCCCAGATCCTGCTTATTGTTTTGTCAGATTCCCGTATCCTGCTTACACTATGTACGTAAGCAATTCTCATTTTTTTGTAATTTCCTGTGTCCCGCTAGACTTCATTTCCCGTTTTCACGGCACAATAATTTGACTTTCACGTGTCACGCTTACAAAAAATCAGCAATCCCGCGTCACGCTTAGACCCCAATGAGACCCACACTAATGTGTCTGGGTAGTGTGACGTGTCTTCTTGCAGACTGTTATCTTGTGAACTAGCACGTTAAAACATACGACTCTAAATGTTAGTCTAGTACAAAGTAGGGTTAATATTCATTTTACATTAACATGTTCTCATCCTGAATATGCATATAAAAACATGGATATAGCATTGGTAGTTAGTAACAAAGTACAAGTTAAAATATTTTCAAATTTTATAGGAATGATGGTTGGGTCAGACTTAGCACATGTTGTTTGGGTGGCATACATTAGAATTAAATCACGTTTTCATCTTTTTTCTCTGAAATATTTTTGGCCAATATTGATTAAATTTGGCAAAGACAACTGTATTGAAAGTTTTATTTCAGACTATCATTTAGTTTAGTTCAGTCGAAAAATGTGACCCCCAAAGAATGCATTATTTCCACAATAAAATTTTTATATTGGTTTGCAATGTTATGTCTTTTCATTGAATCTGTACATCATTTGTACATCCTAGTCAATCCTGTGTTCAGTTCATTCATAAGTGTCTATAAATGATTATCATCATGAAAATTGATTGAAATAACTGCATTTTATGCAGGAGATGGGAGAAAATTGGGACAGGCTAAATTAAAATCTATAGGAAAGATTGCCAAATAATAAAATGTGTGGTGTTGTTATATAATTGAGAACAGACTTGTAGAAAGGCAGAACCAAAGCAAACAGGAAGTCATGTAATTTAACTCCATTCAGAGGTTATCTTTTAAAGTGGTTAGTTTGAGAGATAAATGCTGTTGATGACTTGATGGTGTTTTTAAAATAAGACAAGATTAACAAATTTATTATGTTTTGATGCTAAATGAAAAACAGATGGAAGTTTTTATCTGTATAGCTTAAGGGTTTCAGATATTAAAATGATTCAAGTTGAAGACTGTTGGTAGAAATTGCTTTTAGGGAATGTATTAAATATTTAGCATGGCAATAGTTATACATACATATTCTGCATGTCAGCTTTTATATTCTAAAGTATTGAAACAAATGTTTATCAGTGTACTTTTTGTCACTATAGTACTGAAAAAGTTGGGGTTTTTTTATACGACCGCGGTCGTTACATATTGGTATCATGTTGTCGTCGTCAGCGTCGTCCGAAGACATTTTTTTCCGGACAATAAAATGTAAATAGAAATCTATGAAATTTAAACACAAGGTTTATAACCACAAATGGTAGGTTGGGATTGATTTTGGGGGTTATAGTCCTAACAGTTTAGGAATTAGGGGCAAAAAAGGGGCCCAAATAAGCATTTTTCTAGTTTCCAGACAATAACTTGTGGAACGGTGTATGGATCTCTCTGAAATTATACCACAAGTTTCCATACCACAAAGGGATGGTTAGGATTGGCTTTGGGGGGTTATGGCTCAAATCGTTTAGGAATTAGGGGCAAAAAAGGGGGAAAAACAAGGGTTTCCTGTTTAATGGACAATTAAAAAAGTACAATGTTATGTTTGGATTACCTCCCTTACACTGCTTTTAAATTATGTATAAAGAAATGTTGTATTGTCTTGAGGTGATTAGCTGTCAATTTATTTTTAGAAGTTACTATTTAAAAATGCTGATTAAGGAATATTAATTTTAGCCATGATTATGTATGTCATTTTCTATTTTAAGACTTTTATGATGTATTTAAATGGGTAATTATGGTTGCAAGCTCCATTTGAAATTTGAATTGAGATTATGACCATATCTTGTGGGAAAGAATTTTTTTTTTTTTGGAAAAATGGGAGGGAGGTGAAAAAAAATTGGGGGGTGGGGGGCAATTTTTTCTCATTTCAGATTTCAGAAATTAAAAGAAGAAAATTTCTTCAAATATTTTTTTTTTTTGCGAAAAAAAGGGGGGGGCTCAATTCGCAACAGCATAGTGTATTGCACAAAAGCAAAAAAAAGGGGGGGGGGGGGGGCAATTTGCAACAGCATAGTGTATTGCACAAAAGCAAAAAATTGAATATAAATTCAAATCATATAATCAGTTCTAAGTTCTTTGACTACAGTTATTCTGTGTCAAATATTTAATTACAATCCAAATTCAGACCTGTATATAAAGTGCGAATATTGTGTCCATTTTTGCCCCAACTGTTCAGGGTTGGACCTCTGCAGTCGTATCCAGCTGCGCTCGGCGAAGCAATTTATTTTTCTTGCTGTCTTTTTTTTTTTTTTGGACCCAGTCGGGTCAAACCAAAGTCTTTAAAATTGGAATTTTCTGCTTCCTCACTAAGTGTGTGGCATTAAGGAGTAAGAGCAAAGACTGGTCAGCTTGGAGTCAGAATAATGTGCCCGGGGAAAGGTGACATGTCTTCCTGCGGACTGTTACCTTGTGAACTAGCATGTTACAAATCCAGCTCAGAGTGTCAGTCTAGTACAAAGCAGGGTAAATATTCATAATACATTAACATGTGCTCTTCCTGAATATTCAATAAGCTGCTGGACGTTAAGCAGCCATCCATCATCATCATCTTTTTTTATGTCACATGACTTTTGATTTTTATTATATTTACTGTGAAAATTATTGTCATGAACACTGATAATTATTTTTCACTCTACTGTTATAAGTATCTTTCGTGATTGTGGACATATTTCATTCAAACTACTTGGTGAGATAGCATACATAAGTTCTTTTCTGCAATAATATTTGAAAATTTTCATATGGAAAAAAAATTAAATGCTGATAGAATCTCAGATAGTGTAAAAACAAAATGTGAATATAAACCCTCATGATTTTGTTTGGTTTAAATTCCACGAAAAATATCCTACTTAACAGTACCATCTGGTAGGATTTCCCAATACCCTGTTTACATTAGCAAAAAAAGATAATTTTTCGTGAGATCGATTAAAATAAAGTTCGATTTTTTCCTGAGATCAATTAAAGAAAGATAGATCTTCAATTGGACTAAATAAGTCCACCTCCAGGCCTTGTGGTCATAAAATTTTGGAGTATGATTATTGTACTCAGACTCAGAATTCAACCAATCAAAATTCTGGATTTGGTGTTTTGAACACAAGGTTTGTACTCTTAGTACTGAGTATAAAGTTTTATGACTAGTGTAGACCCAGGATCTTTATTTAATGACTTTTGACATGTGATTTCATAATATTAATAACTGCACAAGTAATTCCAATGACTCAACTATTTCCACCACCTTTTTTGCAGTGTGTGATTTCTGCATGAAATACATTACATTATCACATTTTATTTTTACCATTGTTTGTTTACGATAGGTGAGGTAATTTAGTCAGACTTGTTCTTTTTATGATGCAGTGTAAAAGTACTGGATCTGAAAAGATCGATGTTTGTACAAATACTAACATGGACTGGTCTTTTTTAAAATTGATTCAAATAAAGATCAGTTCAATTTCATACAACTGTAAACAGGGTCTTACATTACTGACCTTGTTGCACTAGTCTTGCATGAAACAGGAAATCTTACCCTTGGGTGTTAAACTTCCTCCTCGTGTAACTCTTTCCTGTGTTATATTGTTAATGCAAATGTTTACGAGAGATAATAGAATACTTCTATGTAAGCAAGGTAATAGAAACAACTGAGCTACAAGAAAACAATTTAGGACACATTTAGGATAAGACAACCTAAAAATAGACAATTAATGGTACAAAATAAAAACCATAGACATTTGCATATACAGAACAAAAGACAATTATTAATCGTAAACAATTCTCATACAAACTAGAAGTGATGATATTAATTAGAAAAACAAATAAACTTAATAAAGTGTTAATGATTAATGATACAACACAAATTTCTAATTACAAAGAAATATCTCAAAATTTTATATTCATACATAAGAGAAATGAATCCAATTTTTGAGTTCATTAGTTTTGTAAATCACCAATTAACATTGATCACTGCACCCATGAATAATTACCTTTCATCTAACAGATACTTTATTCTCATTACATAACAAAAGGTTTATTTTATTTATTTGAAATAGAGCATAATTATTGTCCTTCTTCAATTTGCGTATTTTCCCAATTTTGTTTTTTGGTGCTACTTTTTCACTAAAAAAGCAATTATAGGAAACACATGTAATAATAATGTTGTTATTTTCTTGTGGATGAAATGAACATGACCATAAAACTATTTTCTATTTGCAGTCTGAAATTGGATTTGGAAAGATAGAATCCTACACGAAATTAGACAAATTAGGAGAGGTATGCTTACTTTAGATTAATACATGTTTATGAGACAACAAACTCATTTATTATCACAAAGTTCTTGGTAATAACTTGCTGACTGGCAAAAATAGTCAAATCCTGTAGATTTAACAGAGGAAATAGTTGTAGGGTTTAAAAAAGATTCTTAATTGTTTTTGATCAGGTTTTTATAATAAAAGACACGATTGAAATACATTCAAATTACCTTGAAAATATGATAAAGATAAAAACAATGTGAGTGAAGTGCAAAGACAGTGTTTACTGATCTTAAATTAGGATTAAAATATGCCTCCAACAACGTTTTTGCCAAAAAATCTAATTTTCTGATAATTTTGGTTACATTTCCTTACATGATCATGTCTTCAGATGAACATTATAGAAGATATGTCTTAAAGTGCTTCAACAATGAGCCAAACCCATACGGCATAGCAAGCTATAAAAGGCCTGAAATGATAAATGTAAAACAGATAGTTGATGGTAGTCACAGCCTAGACTTTATATGAGGATTTCCTGCTTTTTTTTCAGTGACTTTACAAGTGAAATAAACATTCTTATTTCTCATTCCCAAGGAGATTGTTTGGCCCTGTACCTTCAGTCATGGTTCATTGACTTTGAATATTTTGCATAACTTACATGTTAAAGTATTGCTATTTTAATTTCAACATTTGCATTTTACTATCAAAATAACAAAAAAGTGAGACATAAATCTGTGTTAACAGTTTATGTAATAATATATTTTCTTCAGCTGGGCAATATTGGGTCTAAGGAGCCTTGAGTTTTTGTTTACATTATTTTCAGGAAATAAACAAGTAATGACAAGGTCAAAATCTGTTTTTCAATCAGTGTGTTTAACTATTAAGCTGTTTTTTTTATATTTTAAGTGTTAAGGAAAATAATTATTTTTTGAAATTTTGCGTAAATTAAATTGTTTGTTACTTGTTTGGTATAAATCTCTTGCTGTTGGACAGATGTTATAACTGGGAAAATATATAAGAACTAAATCTAATCAGAATTCTAAAGATTAGTTTTGGATTAATGATGATTATTGAAAGATAATGAAGTGAGACTCCGACTGATACAAGAGAACTCCATAATCATTATGTATGGCCTTCTAAGTATAACTGTTTTAGACGCTTGTTTTCAATAATTGATTGTTCTGTAAACTGGTAAACAAATATAGCATTTGTTTCATTATTTTGTTCTGGTTAAGCTTTGTGCATATTATTCTAAATATACAATTAGCCATTTGTTTCATTCTTTTGTTCTGGTTAACCTTTGTACATATTATTCTAAGTATATAATTAGCCATTTGTTTCATTCTTTTGTTCTGGTTAACCTATGTACATACAATTCTTAGTATGCAATTAGCCTTTTCAAAATCTAAAGGACTATGAGTAATTTTATTGTTTGTACTTCAAAATAAAAATATAGTAAAGCCATTGGTTCAGTTTCCATTGTTTGGGACATTGTTAGCCAATCAGAATGTTTTGGTGTACTTTTAAAAACATCATCCAGAATGCTTTCAATTCTGAAAAGATGAATTCCTAAAAGGTACTGGACAGCAGAGCTAGATCAGTTGTAAGGAGACTTATTTCTGTTACCCAATCATGCAGTTTTATATGTAACACCCCAAACATCAATAGAAATGTAAAATACAAAAGTGCAGATATTTAAAACAATTACTGTTAATGTCCTAAGAAAAGATAACATATCTTTTATAGAGTTGGTCAAATCAAGTTCCTTTGATCATGTTGATAAAAGAAAACAGTTTTAAAAGTCAAATATTAAAGTTATGAAATTATTTTTCCAGGGAACATATGCTACTGTGTTCAAGGGTAAGAGTCGACTAACAGACAATCTTGTAGCTCTGAAAGAAATACGACTAGAACATGAAGAAGGAGCACCATGTACAGCCATTAGAGAAGGTAAAAGTTTGATCCCAGTTTAAAAGTAATATCATGTAAGGGTGAGATATCTTGGCATTAAAAGAATCATAGTGAAAGGCAGGTATACAGGAGACAAAACTTGAAAAGGAACCAGTCAGTTTGACTGATATTAACCAAATCTTCATTTTAAGAGGAATAATTTTTTAGTAGTACATAATTTCCAGAACATTTGATTAGATAAAAGAAAGTTATTTTATTTTGATTTTATAAAAAGAAATTGTTACAACACCTAAGGTCAAGGTAATAGTTGCTGAAATACTAATAGACCAAAAAATTAGTGCAGAAAAGGAATTTCAGGATATAACTCTTAGAACCTTACATGGGATTGTAATGAAACATCTGTAAATGGTCACATATAATGAGAGAAAAATGCCTATTGATTTTGAGATCATTGCTTCCAAAGGCACAGTTAAAGCAAAAACCTTTAGTCTGGAATTAGTGCTGAAAAGGGATTTCCAGATAATAGTCACAGAAGCTTACATGGTATTGGAACAATACTTGCATATCTGGTCACATATAATGATAGAAGTTCCATTTTGATTTGAAATCAATGAAATTAGTTCAGAAAATGGGTTTCCTGATGATAACTTCAGGACCCTTCATGGTATTGTAACAAAACTTGTATAGAAGGTAACATATAAAGGTAGAGATATCCCAATTGGTTTTAGGTGTAATACCACCAAATCATAGTATGTCACATCCTGTTGCATACGAAAATAGGTCGAAAAAAATATTCCCTTGAATTTGACAGTTGTAGGTAATTAATCCTACATTTCATTGCAGTAAAACATTTCTGGGTCATAAACATATATCTTGGGTATTTCAAAGCACCATTATATTTTTATTTTGGGTTTCTATAGAATATTTTGGAAACTTGAGGTTACATGGTTACTAAAGCTTGTACACAGGTTAAAAAAGTAAGAAAATTTGATTGGTTAACTTCCAGTGATGGTTATTTTCTTATATGCAATGAAATGTTATGTGAAATTTTTTCTATAGTACTGAACAGGATAAAACTTTACTCATGCCTAGTATTTCTTTATTTGAAACAAAGATAAATTCTGCACAATTTTTTGAAAAGTGCAAATTTAACAAAGACTAATAGGGGAAAATTAATGGTGGTATTACACCTTTAGCTCTGTACAACCAAGGTCAAGATCACACTTACCAGTTTTACAACTAAGCCCAAGAATTTGCATCAAAATGATGTTGAATAAAAAGTGAACTTATCTCCTGCACCACTTAGAAAACACCATATTTTCAAATTAAACTGTCACATCAATTATATTATGTTAGTTCACAGATACCACATGGTTTCTTTCTCAATCTATAGGTGACAATTGTTGCAAGAAGGGATACAATGAAATACAAAATACCAATCAAGAAATATATCTTTTTTTTTCATTATATGTGATTTTGATTTTTTTTTACAAAATTTGATTTTTTCAATAAATTGCAAGATTAGAATATTTTTAAAAACCATATTTAAAAATAATTAGGTTTTCAAATAAATCTTGAAAGTCAGGATAAACAACATCAAAGAATGTTTCCAAAATAAGAATTAAACGCAAAAAAAAGAGGGGGAGGGGGGTCAACCCCACATTTGCCTGTGCATTTTCCTAAAACTTTTAAAGTTAACAATTTTGTGTTTTAAACATCTGTTTGTTAAGTAATATTATCAGTCGCCTCATCAGTATGAAATGACAGATTTATAGTCCTTTTTAACTATTTTATAATTGAGAGAAGATATGAAATTTTCACTTTCTTGTGCATGGATTTAGGACTGTTACTAGAAATGAAGTGAAATTTTAGAATAAGTGGGCATTACCATGGCATGGGGTATTCTTTACTAAGACTCTTTAATTAACCAATATAAGTGGGTCATTAAACATAAAGTTTAGTCAATGTATTGAAAATTGTTATGCTTTACTGTTATTGTTTGTTTATTTTTTTCAGTCTCATTACTCAGGGATCTGAAGCATGCAAATATAGTCACTCTCCATGACATCATTCATACAGAAAAGTCTCTCACTCTAGTCTTTGAATATTTGGTAAGTTCAAAAGATGATGCTATTAGTATTTAGTTTGTATTATTGTAACCAAAACCAATTGGAAATATAAATGCACACCAACTCCATCACACAGTGGAAGAAGATATTATGCCATTACTTGTTAATATGTTCCCAAAATATTTTTTGAAGATTCATTTGATAAGATACATACTTTCTATTTTCTTCTAAGTGAATTTTTTGTCGATGTTTAATATTACCATATTAATAATGCAATATTGTGATGTCAAAATTAAAGGCTGTTATTAGATAGCATGGGATACATACTTTTTTATGTCCCATTTATGGGCATTATGTTTGTCGGTCTGTGCATCCATTCGTCCCTTCGTTCGTCTGATGTCCCTCCGTCTGTCCCACTTCAGGTTAAAGTTTTTCAGTTTAAAAGTTTTTGGTCAAGGTAGTTTTTGATGAAGTTGAAGTCCAATCAACTTGAAACTTAGTAAACATGTTCCCTATGATATGATCTTTCTCATTTTAATGCCAAATTAGAGTTTTGACCCCAATTTCACGGTCCACTGAACATAGAATATGATAGTGCGAGTGGGGCATCTGTGTACTATGGACACATTCTTGTTTTTTTCATCAATTTCAAATATTAATGTATGTCTGACACAGAAACTTCCAAAACCTCTTTGGTTGATATGAATGTTCCATTTCACAGTTGATAAACTATAATAAGAAACTTAAAAATACAAAACATGAATTCTATGAAATTTTAAACAAGTAAAAACATACAATAGATTAAAGCATACATGGTAACATTTTACATGGTGTCAATTCTCCTTGATCCAACAAAAATAGTGACTTTCTTTACAAAGTGGCATTACAATAGCAGCTGTGCTTTTTTGAAGCAACACTTTGTGAAATGTTTTGTAAACTTTCTTTAAAACTCATATTTACACACATTCTGAGTTATTCAATTTCATTTTTATGGAAGTCAATTTTATTTGCTTTTGGTAAAATTATTAACAGGGGTGCTAAATAAATCATAAAAAAATTAAGAGTGTATTAGTTAAACTTTATTGGTGCAATATTATACAGACCTGCCAACTATCCCAGTTTATGGGGGATATCCCCCATGAGAGAATAGTTTTGACCTGAATTTTAAGATTCTTTATTATGTAAACTGAATACCTCAAAACAGCATTCAAATGAGTTAAAAGGGTACTTAAGCACATACATACTCATTGAAACAATATAATAGTAGATTAAAAACACTTATGACAATATAAGTGGTGCATAAGGTCCTCATGTGCTTAAAATCCCCCATGGAGATTTCGAAAAGATGGCAGGTATGAATAAATTTTGACATGTATACCTTTTATACGATATGTATTGTATTTGTAGGATCATGATCTCAAACAGTATATGGATGACTGTGGTAATATGATTTTATACGATATGTATTGTATTTGTAGGATCGTGATCTCAAACAGTATATGGATGACTGTGGTAATATGATTTTATACGATTTGTATTGTATTTGTAGGATCGTGATCTCAAACAGTATATGGATGACTGTGGTAATATGATTTTATACGATATGTATTGTATTTGTAGGATCGTGATCTCAAACAGTATATGGATGACTGTGGTAATATGATTTTATACGATATGTATTGTATTTGTAGGATCGTGATCTCAAACAGTATATGGATGACTGCGGTAATATGATTTTATACCATATGTATTGTATTTGTAGGATCGTGATCTCAAACAGTATATGGATGACTGTGGTAATATGATTTTATACCATATGTATTGTATTTGTAGGATCGTGATCTCAAACAGTATATGGATGACTGTGGTAATATGATTTTATACGATATGTATTGTATTTGTAGGATCGTGATCTCAAACAGTATATGGATGACTGTGGTAATATGATTTTATACGATATGTATTGTATTTGTAGGATCGTGATCTCAAACAGTATATGAATGACTGTGGTAATATGATTTTATACGATATGTATTGTATTTGTAGGATCGTGATCTCAAACAGTATATGGATGACTGTGGTAATATGATTTTATACCATATGTATTGTATTTGTAGGATCGTGATCTCAAACAGTATATGGATGACTGTGGTAATATGATTTTATACCATATGTATTGTATTTGTAGGATCGTGATCTCAAACAGTATATGGATGACTGTGGTAATATGATTTTATACCATATGTATTGTATTTGTAGGATCGTGATCTCAAACAGTATATGGATGACTGTGGTAATATGATTTTATACCATATGTATTGTATTTGTAGGATCGTGATCTCAAACAGTATATGGATGACTGTGGTAATATGATTTTATACCATATGTATTGTATTTGTAGGATCGTGATCTCAAACAGTATATGGATGACTGTGGTAATATGATTTTATACGATATGTATTGTATTTGTAGGATCGTGATCTCAAACAGTATATGGATGACTGTGGTAATATAATGAGTATGAATAATGTAAAGGTAGGAAATTAACTAGATAGTTCACATCAAGTTAATAAAACAACAAAACCAAATACCCAAAACAAAACAAAACAAAACAAAATAACCATCAGCTTCCAGACCTAGGTCAGGAGCCTGATGTTCAGTGGTTGTCGTTTGTTGGTGTGGTTCATAAGTGTGTCTTGTTTCTCAGATTTTATATAGATTAGACCGTTGGTTTTACGCTAGTCATTTTTGGGACCCTTTAAAGCCTGCTGTTCGGTGTGAGCTAAGGCTCTGTGTTGAAGGCCGTACTTTAACCTATTAGGGTTTACTTTTACAAATTGTGACTTGGATGGAGAGTTGTCTCATTGGCACTCATACCACATCTTCTTATATCTATTGACTATAAAAAAATATACCATTCTAACATAAATTTGGTATTTGTTGGTTCCTCTGGTATCTTTTAGATACATTGATATGACAAGATAACAAGAGACCACAATATGCCTGTCTTCATCAATAGGATATTTATGTTGATCTGTGCAGGGAAAAGCTTATGAAGTGCTTTGGTCAAAACAAAACTAAGCTCTACTCAACTAATCATATACTGTCAATGTTATGGTAGAAAATGACATTAATACAGAGGTCATTATGTACTGAAGACATTAAAAATTTTATGGCAACAAATCTCTAGTTTTAAAAAATTTATGGATGAGCTTTTAATTTTTTATACTAATATAAATACAATAAATGTTTGTTTTTATTTATTATTTATTCTTCTTTTTTCAGTTGTTTTTATTCCAATTACTACGAGGCCTTGCCTATTGCCATAAAAAACAAGTGCTACATAGAGATCTTAAACCACAAAATCTTCTAATTAATGAAAGAGGAGAACTTAAATTAGCTGATTTTGGTTAGTATTATTGCTATAGTTAATATTTCATTAGTTTCCAGTATGTGAATATTAAACATTTTTATTTTATTATTTACTGTGAATTCATTTTATTCATAGGATATCAATTTTTTGTGGATTTCGTGGGTATAGGTGAACCAAGAATTTAAATATTCAACAAAGTACAAGTTTCTATAGGCTTGTATGCAGGCTTTGGCAAAACCACGAAATTGAATATCCATGAAAAAATGATTTCTCCTCAATCCGCAACAATTGTTACTTATGAAAAATCAATGAGGTAAATTATATAAAAGTTTTGCTTAAAGCATACTTTTGGAATCATGTAGAAAACTCTCAGTATTTAGATAAAATTGAGAATGGAAATGGGGAATGTGTCAAAGAGACAACAACCCGACCATAGAACAGACAACAGCAGAAGATCACCAACAGGTCTTCAATGCAGCGAGAAATTCCCACATCCGGAGGCGTCCTTCAGCTGGCCCCTAAACAAATATATATACTAGTTCAGTGATAATGAACGCCATACTAATCTCCAAATTGTACACAAGAAACTAAAATTAAAAATAATACAAGACTAACAAAGGCTAGAGGCTCCTGACTTGGGACAGGCGCAAAAATGCGGCGGGGTTAAACATGTTTATGAGATCTCAACCCTCCCCCTATACCTCTAGCCAATGTAGAAAAGTAAACGCATAACAATACGCACATTACAATTCAGTTCAAGAGAAGTCCGAGTCTGATACATGGTTGTGACTCTATACTATTGACCCTTTTTGGATTGGGATACAATAGTCTAAAACTAACAGTACTTAGTACATATAAAGTGAGTTAAGATCCTATAGAAGTCAAAAGGACAAATATATTTTACTCAACAGTAACTGATTAACTGATTATTATTTGCTTAATGAATAACAGCAATTAATATTACTGGAATATTTGTCAGAAAACAATCGACATTCATAATTTCATATTTTATAAACAATGTAAAAACTTGGATGGGACTCAAAAATTTGAAAATGTGTTCAAGGTCTGCTTAAAATAGAAATGAACAGGAAGTTTTACATGGGTAAATCAGATACATTTTTAGCATATACTCAGCATGTATAAGATGAGTGTTATAAGAGTATAAGAAATCATGAAAATTAAATTTGAATAGTAAATATAAAAAAGAGGATGTGGTATGATTGCAAATGAGACAACTCTTCACAAGAGACCAAATGACACAGAAATTAACAGCTATAGGTCACCGTACAGCCTTCAACAATGAGCAAAGCTCATACCGCCTAGTCAGCTATAAAAGGCCCAGAAAAGACAAATGTAAAACAATTCAAACGAGAAAACTAACTAAAGTAAGTTTATCTACTTCTATTTCAGGTTTAGCCCGTGCCAAGTCAATACCTACTAAAACATATTCCAATGAAGTCGTCACATTATGGTGAGTTGTTTTTACCATATTTGCTTTGTAACCTTTATAGTCAAGAAACACCATACGTTAATCACCAAGTATTCATCTTACATAATAAAAACTTTCTTAAGTAAGTAACAAAGAATTATTTTCAACTAGAGCTAGAGGTTGCAATGAACTCTGAGTGAGGTGTGAGCTTTTGCTTTTTGTTTGAGGCCTTTATGTGCTTTTAAAATGAAGAACGGCAATAAAAGCATTTTTCCCTTTTGAATGCATATAGGGATTTTGTTTCATGAATTAGTACACCCATCCCTTCTTTTCCATTAGATTTAGTTCTAAAATTTATTTTCTGCTATAATCTCATTCAATTCACACAACAAGTACTGCTATTTCTGCTACTTCATATTTCAAAATTATTCTTATAAACAAAGACCTGTTTATCTATAAAGAGATACAAATATAAATGTGGTACATATAGATTCAACAATTCCAACCAGAAATTATGGTTTAGAGGTTAAGATATTGTCTTTAAAATAAGCAGGCACTCTATATATAGAAAGAAAAAAATATAAGTTCCAATTCAATTCAAACTAGTTGTGTCACAAAATTAAACATACGGTATGACATATTTTCATACTAAAAATTAACATCTTTTGACAGAGTGCCTACTTGGCTTCTTGGGAAAAAATCTTTAAAAAAACAGTATGAACATGAGTAAAGGGAAATAATTTTCCTGACAGGGCTTGAACAATGTTTATAATGAAGTTATTATTTTAGGTACCGACCACCAGATGTTTTATTAGGTTCAACAGAGTATTCTACTCCAATTGATATGTGGTAAGTTTGATTTACCGTCTTATTTAGTGGAACTAGTCTAAAGAAAATACCTTCGGACAAGAAGATTTGCTTTGGATTGGACAGTATTTTGCTTTACAGTTTTCGTTTTACATATGTTTCACTGTAGTTTTGTATTTGATTGGAGAGTATTTTGCTGTACACAGGTTTAACTATAGACATTTTTCACTAGTTATATATATTTTTTTGTCAGTATTTTGCTGTACACAGGGTTCACTTTACACATTGTAGTTTTGCATTTGATTGGTCAGTGTTTTGCAGTACACAGAGTTCACTTTACACACTGTAGTTTTGCATTTGATTGGTCAGTGATTTGCAGTACACAGGGTTCACTTTACACACACTAGTTTTGCATTTGATTGGTCAGTGTTTTGCAGTACACAAGATTCACTTTACACACTGTAGTTTTGCATTTGATTGGTCAGTGTTTTGCAGTACATAGGGTTCACTTTACACACTGTAGTTTTGCATTTGATTGGTCAGTGTTTTGCAGTACACAGGGTTCACTTTACACACTGTAGTTTTGCATTTGATTGGTCAGTGATTTGCAGTACACAGGATTCACTTTACACACTGTAGTTTTGCATTTGATTGGTCAGTGTTTTGCAGTACACAGGATTCACGTTACACATGAGAGTTCACTTTACACATGTTTGACTGTAGTTTTATTGCATTGCCATGACAGAGTCAAAAAGCTAGACATGACTGTGCTGTTTTCAGCGTTGGTAGCGTCAACGATGTATTAGTTTGTGATTAGGTTTATTTGTGGGGAACCACTAGTGGAAGGTCAATGATATTTGGCATGAAGTTGTATTAGCATTGGCACATCTCTTTTCCATGGAGATTATTTGGCCCTGTCCCCTCAGTCGTGGTCTATTTCCATGAAAATACCGCAAAGGATCACACACGATTTGAAATTACCGGATATTCATTAGACATTTTCACGAATTCTCGTGGTGAGAAGGGGGGTGCAGACAATGTTCCAGTGCGAACTATACAAAGCCGATTACGGTATTAGTTTGTGATTAGGTCAGTTTATGGGGAACCACTAGTGGTAGATCAATGATATTTGGTGTGCAGTTGTATAAGCATTGGCACATCTCATTTCCATGGAGATTATTTGGCCCTGTCCCCTCAGTCGTGGTCTATTGACTGAAACTTTTGCTTAGTTTACATGTATTAGTTTGTGATTAGGTCAGTTTATAGGGAACCATTAGTGGTAGATGAATGGCATTTTGTTTTCATTTGTATAAGCATTGGCACATTTCATTTCCATGGAGATTGTTTTGCCCTGGCCTCTCAGTCGTGGTCTATTGACTTTGAAACTTTTGCTCAGTTTACATGTATTAGGTTGTTATTAGATCAGTTATTGGGGAACCACTAGTGTTAGTTCAATGATTTTTGGTATGCATATTTATTAGCGTTGGCACATCTCATTTCCAAAAAAATTATTGTTTGGTCTTGTACCTTCAGTCATGGTTCAATGTCTTTGAATTTTTGCATAATTTACATATTAAAAGTATTTGTTGCTATTTTAATTTCAACATTAGCATTTTACTATCAAAATAACAAAAAGGTAAGACATGTCTCTGTGTTAACAGTTTATATTTTATTGGAACAGTGATAGTGTATCTTTACTTATAAATGTAGAATGAAAATAAATAACTTACAGGTATCAGTGAATACTAAAAGCAAACTACAAATTAGTTCATTTGAAAATTACAGTAACAGGTGAATTTTGAAACTTAATGTCTTGAGAAAAATCAGTGGGAGGTATAAAGTTTAGGATGTCAAAATATACACTGTATCTATTCTTAAATGTGGATGAGATTTCTCAATTTTGCAAGATAACATGTCTTTTTGAAGTAAGAAAAAAGATATTTATTTATTGTTTAATATTCATGGAAAACAGAAACCTATTGTCATATTTTACAATTTTTGAATATTTTAAAGGTTTTTATTTTGTTTTACATATATCATGTATAGGCAAAATATAAGGCTTCTGAAAAATATTTATTAAAAAAAACCTAGATTTCATAGAGCATATCTTAACTTTAATAAAAAAAAAAATTAAGTAAGATAAAAGGAGATGGACAAGTATTTTTTTAAAATTTTGTATTATTTAAATTGAATTTAAGCAACCAATTCCTATTCACTTATTTTAGTAGTTGTAGATTTGCTCTAGTAAGTTCTGTAAATCTTTGAAAACAAACCTGTGTATACTGCAGCTAGATCACTTCCTATTGTCTTTATCTCCTGAATAGAGAAACAAAGTGATATTTCCTGCAATGTAGATTTTTATGTCACATCACTTTTCTTCACAATTTGGTGATTTGTTTAAGAATGGAAAAATTTTTTTATTTTTGTGTTAACATTACAATAACTATAATTATCGTCATTTTTAGCTGCAGTATAAAAACAGTAGGTCAATGTCAAAAAAATTCCACTTTTTTGTAATCGGCAGGAAACTGTTAAAGAGCTCAGTAAACTTTGCCTTCCAGAGATTCTGAACCTCATTGAAAAAAAGTTGATATTTTCGACATTGACCTTATATTTTATATATATTTCTCTAATTTTTACCCTATTTATCCTTTTCCTAACCTGTTGATTATTTTGGTTTAATCAATGTGTGGTTTGTTTGATCTCAGTTCTTCATTGGTCAAAATTCGATTGGGATGTCAAATTTTCTTGCTTTTCTCTGAAATTCCTATTGTGACTTCATGAAAAAAGGCGACCATGCCTGATGATGTCACATAGAAAGAACACATCTTTTTGCAGATCATTCCAAAAAAAGAATTAATTTTGTCTGCATATCGTCTAAAAATCATCAGAGAAACAGATTCCACCGCCAAATCTCATGCAATACAATATTTATCCACTCAATAGTTAAATTTTAAATATTTAAAATGCTCGGCTTAACTGTCTCGAGTGGATAAATATCGTAAAATCTATATATATTTTTATAAAAGTAACTTATTAACAACCTGTTATAAAAAGAAGTTAAACTATATCTTTTATACTTTTACAGGGGAGTTGGTTGTATATTTTATGAGATGGCATGTGGTCGGCCATTGTTTCCAGGATCAACAGTAGAGGATGAACTCCATTACATATTTAAAATTCTGGGAACACCAACAGAAGATCAGTTCCCAGGACTTAGTAAAAATGAGGACTATTTGTCTTATAACTTTCCTTTCTATAAACCAGAACCACTTATTAATGTAGCACCAAGGTAATTTAAGATTTTCTAACTGAAGAATCTGTATTTGTACATTTTCATAGCAATTTTCTGTGACTCAGCTTTTGTAAAGTATTTCATCTCATTTTAGTCTACATTATTATGAATATGGCATTTGATACAGGTACATTTCTTAATAACATTGATTTTAATGCAGCAGAAACTATGGTATTTCATTACTCTATAATAATGAAGAATTACTCAAGGTATTCATATTTCAAAAATATAATCACGCAGAATTACTCATGGTAGTCATATTTCAGAAACTAGAATTTGAAAAAGAACAAATAGAATATATATTGAAAGAAATGACAAGTTTAATCTATTTTATTGCATGAACAAAATATTTGCTATTATTTGTTGCATTTAATTAGATTAGTTTAGTTTTCATGCTGCCCATCTCTCAGTGGCAGGGACACATAGTGTCTTTTTTGTTCCTGACTAAGTGCAATATTTAGTTGATGCTTAAACCCCATGATATGCTACATTATTACATTGGTAGCAATGAATTACATTGATTTCCCAGTCAAATAAAAACCGATAATTTCACATGTGAAATAAACGTGGTTATTTCACTCTCTGACGTCATACAACAATAGGCGTTGTCAAGACGTCGATAACGTCGGATCAAAACAAATTGTGAATGCGTAGAAAAAAGATATAGTTCCTTACATTTTCTTCATTAATTTCATTAAAAAAAAACATTTGCCAATGTAATAAAAAGAATAACTAATCAAAGAATTCAAATATCGAAAAATATTCAACTCGTGACCGAACAACACTGATAATTAACTCATGCGCTACGCGCATTCGTGAATTAATGTGTTGTTTGGTCACTCGTTGAATATTTTTCTCTATTTGAATTCTTCGATTAGTTATTCTATAATTAAAATTCTTTGATCTGTTATATTACAGATTAGATGGAGATGGTTTAGATTTGTTATCAAAACATTTACTGGTAAGTTGTATGCACTAAGGAGACAATACAGCTTTGATTACTACAATTTAATAGAAAATTCTTAGGAAGCAACCTGACATTACTTTACATATGTATGTCATATTTATATGATAACATATACTGTATTTGTAATGTCTGTGCTGAAGAATACACTTATTGTACCATTAACTTTTTATCTCTATAATGACCATATATATAGCATGGTTCATATTTGTTTTTCATAAGTAGTGTTGTTTAGGCAAATTTCCATATGGCCATTTTTACATTGTGATTTTTAGCCAAAATGACAAGCTTGATATAGCTTCTAGTCTCTCTGTAGGGAAAAAAACTGAAACACTCAAAATGCAGTCAACAAAACAATACACTTACAATAAAAGATTTAGCAATACTAACCCTAACAAAAACTAAAACTCAGGTTCTCTGAAACTGTATGCTGTCTCTGCTTCACTAGTAGTACCCTTCATGTTGCATATGGAAAAGAAAAATAGTGATAGGTCATACTCAGTATTGTAACAATTGAGGTTAAGTGATCATGATTGAGGCTATGACAAGTGGAATATATATCCTTTATCATCTGTGACAAAAAAAATCTTCCACAGCCGTCAACCAATGTATGATGGCATCTGTAAAAAATTCTTTAAATGCCAAGCTTCTAAAATGAGAATGAAGAGATGAAAGAATTGTACATTGATATGCAATGGAGATGAGTGGTATACATTAATGTGACTGGAACCAGATGTCACACAAAAAAAGACTAGTGTCTATACAATATGTCAGACTTTAAGTGGTGTCCAATATACTGTAAATTCAAAAATTATTGCGTGCATTTATTATTGCGATTTTTGAAGAATGGACAATAATGCGAAATTAAGTATTGCGATTGCAGAAAAAAACTGCAAACCGGTACATATATTTAGATCAGATATCAGAATGCGAGTTCTTATTATTGCGATACTCACAGAGTCGCATTATTTTCGCATAAATAAAAACGTCGCCATAATTTTCTGAATTTAAAGTAGATAAGTTGTTAACAAATTTAATAGAAACTATCAAAGATCTTCCATAAACACCAAATTCTCAAAAGGCCAAACAAAATACATTGAGGTTTTACTGAAGAAAACTACTGGTGAGGTTCCTGACTGGGCAAAATTCTTTTTTAGCACTCAAACCTACAACTTTTATATTTTTCAGTATACAGCTAACAAAAGGTGCTCAGCTGCAGAGGCGATGAAATATCCTTTCTTCAACAGTTTGGGACCAAGTGTACATAGGTTACCAGACAGTAAGTTTATGTTATAACTTATAAATATCACATGATTATGTGTGACTGAGAAATATTCAGTTTGAGAATGGTATTGAGTCCCACTGGCAAGTGTCCAAGTGCATATTAGGTAGTATACATCTTCTACTGTATTGATCTGTTTATATTCGGAAAATACCTATTTAAGTTATATACATACAGTGAAACCTGCCTAAACAACCACCTGTATTATTCAATCGACTGATGTATACAATCATTTTTCAATCCCACCAATAGATATCCCTGTATATTTACTGACCATCGACCACATATATTTGCTTGAAACAACTGCCACCACTGTTTAGAACAACCATATATTACTTTGAAGGGTCAACAACCTTTATGTTTAGATTTTGACCTCATTGATTATTCCTTTTGATCATATAGCTCTTCACTAGTTTTTAGTTCTTATACAGCTTTCAAATGTTTGTCTTTGAGTATTCCTGATGAAGGTTAATCCAGAAAAGGGTTCCGGTCGCAAAAAATCTATCAGGTGTTATTTTCATTTTCCATACAATGCATATCACAAAGGTCAACAATCAGGATGTCTATACCAAAGCCAAAGATTGTTTACTAGGTTCAAATGTTGTTTGAATGCAATTAATTGTTTTAACATTGCTTTGAAACAGACCTTTTTGAAAAAATATAGCAAATGAAATTGGTATAAAAGAAGTGCCCTAAAAAGTGGCAATGGTTGAACAATTGTGTGTCGGTGGCTAGATAAATAAATGTCTAGACAATGAAAAATGAAAAAAAGAAGTCTAATTTGAAAAAAATTTTATAGTATCAAATTGATTGTGGCAGTCATTTCTTAATAGAAAATATATATGTGTAAAAATGTTAAACTGATTGAATTTTATTCATTTTTAAAAATGTTGTTAAAAACTGAAAGGATACATGAAGATACTCTTGAAAACATTTTAAAAAGATAATTAAATTTCTTTGAATATACAATTGAGGAAGGATGTCCTCAATTTGTTGAAAAAGGAAGTATTAAACTTATTCAACTGAGTGAAATAAGCCATTTATAAAAATGTTGATAAAAACTGGAAGGATACATAAAGATACACTTGAAAACATTTTAAAAAGATAATTAAATTACTTTGAATGTACAATTGAGAGAGGATATGCTCGATTTGATGAAAAAGGAAGTACTAAATTTATTCAATATGTAAAAACCAAATATTATTTAATTTTTTTTTTATTGAAAACACAGAAATTATATTTTGATATTTCTTTGTGGTTTCTCTGCTAGAAAAAAAAATTGAAATCTGATTATTTTCTTTAAAAATACAAAATAAATGATGTAATGATATGGTATATTAACCATTATGATATTTATTTCAGCTGTATCTATATTTACACTACCTGGTATAATATTACACAAAGATCCTGGAATGAGATCCTCATCATTATCATCTACAGGTAGGCTTCATATAAGATCATGTTTTTCATATCAATATCTACTTAAAGTACAGCTTGATAATTGAAATGGCTACTTCAACTGGTATCGTTTAGAACTATGGTCCATGATGGGGAACCATTCATTAGTTGTGCTACATGTAACACACATGTCACTTTCTTGTCTGAAGTATAATATGTGACTATAAACATGAAGTAACCATAGTCAACAATCAATCACATTTAACTTAACAAATATTTTGTACTAATGCTACTGAGTCAACTATAATTCAGTATTTCAGTTGTTATTCCTAGCCAATAGACTTTTTTCATATCAAATAATTTTTAAATCTGCAGTATATAATTTTTTGGACACGTTAGCCTCTCTGTGGTAGGAAATACTAGTACGTTAGCTTCTCTGTGGTAGGACATGTTAGCTTCTCTGTGGTAGGAAATTCTAGTACGTTGGCTTCTCTGTGGTAGGACATTCTAGTACGTTAGCTTCTCTGTGGTAGGACATTCTACTTCTCTGTGGTAGGACATTCTAGTACTCAGTCAAGTAAGAGCAATTAAAGGAAGGTAAATCAAGCTTACAATCTCTGCAATGTAGGGAAAAAACTAACTGTTTTCAGGTGATTTTGTTGTGTATAGAAAACACAAAACAATTTTTTATTTTTCTCCAAATTGAATCGATTGTAAGTTTGATTTTACTTCATTATGTTGCTCTTACTTGACCGAGTACCAGTTTGTCCTACCATAGAGTAGGTAACATGCCAAAAAATTGTATACCACAGAGTCAAGTTGTTAATATGAAAATAGTCTATTCAAGGTGTATTTTTTTCATGCCCCACATATGATAATAGGGAGCATTATGTTTTTTGGCCTGTGTGTCAGTTCATTCATCCTATATCATGTTATTTTTAAGGTAGTCTTCCATGAAATTTAACATGAACTTAAAACTTAGTACATATGTTACTGTGATGTGAAGTTTTTGAAATATATGCCAAATTATGGTTATGATACAGATTGCAAGTTCACTGAATAGGGAATGGTGTTCTAGCAATGGACACTTTTTGTCCCCCGCGCAATGCTTTGCGGGGACATGGAAATACCAGGCGTCTGTCCGTGTGTCCGCCCATCCGGTCTTGTTAGCCCTCTCACAGGTACAATTCTTGCCAGATCTTTATAAAACTTATACTATAGGTTAATATCAGCAATATCTCGGACAAGTTGTATAATGGTGGACGTACATCCCAAAGTTGGTTTCCATTCTCTAACTTGAGCTTGCCTCAACCAAATGTTATGAAACTTATACACAATACTTATTACCACAAAACACAGATCAAGTTTGAATTTTGGTGGCGTCACTATAATCGTTCTAGAGTTATGCCCCTTTACATTTAGAAAAATTGCTGAATTTTTCGTTTCCGTTCTCATTCTTTAGTTTGCCTCAACCAAATGTTATGAAACTTATACACAGTGCTTATTACCACATAATACAGACAATGTTTGAAAATGGGGGGGTGTCACTTTTACCGTTCTTGAGTTATGTCCCTTTATAAACATACGAATTGCTGAATTTTTCGTTTTCTTTCTATAACTTTAGTTTGCCTCAACCAAATGTTATGAAACTTATACACAATGCTTATTACCACAAATTACAGATCAAGTTTGAATTTTGGTGGTGTCACATTTACCGATCTAGAGTTATGCCTGTTTACAAATGGAAATATTACTGAATTTTTCGTTTCCCTTCTCTAACTTAAGTTTGCCTCCACCAAATGTTATGAATCTTATACACATTGCTTATTACCACAAAACACAGATCAAGTACAAATTTGGGTAGTGTCACTTTTACCGTTCTTCAGTTATGTCCCTTTATAACTTTATATGATATGCAAGCGGGGGCATCATCTGTGTCCCATGGACACATTCCCCATTTATTTCTAAAGAGTTATGCCCCTTGGAAATATTAAATTTATGGAAAATGGCCTTGTTAGCGATCTCATGGGTACAATTCTTGCCAGATTTTTATAAAACTTATGCTACAGGTTAGTATCAGCAATATCTCGAACAAGTTCTATAATGGTGGACGATCGACTTTTTTTAAAAGAGTTATGCCCCCTGGAAATATTAGATTTATGGAAAATGGCCTCGTTAACGCTCCAAAAAAAAAGTTTTTTATTTAGTTATTGCCCTTGTACCTTTGATACATAAAATATGTGCAACCAGGGGGACATTGGAACTCTGTTCTTTTATTTTATTTTGATAACAAAGGAGAAAAATTTATGTATCAAATTAAAGTTTGAAACAAATTCATAAAATGTTTATATGGTTATATTTTTATTTCATGAACATGTGTGAACTTTAAACTGTTTAGTACTTAGATATAAGATTGAACCAAATAAGGACAGAATGCCAAAATTTATTTTAAAGGGTATATGGAGAGATCTTTGAATTGAGCAGACTATTACCATGTTCACACTATGAAATCTGCTCTGGGTCGAAACTCGATAGTTAACCTGAATTCATTTCCCCAGTTCACACTTCTTAAAATTTAACCCACTTTGGTATTTTCCCTCCCAACATGTATGCACCAAAGTTGTCACTTAAATTTATCAGCTGGAGTTTTTTTTATCCCCCCCCCGTAGTGGAGGGGGCATTAAGTTTTACCCTTGTCCGTCCGTACGTCTATACATCCTGAAATTGGTTTCCGTTCTCTAACTTAAGTTTGCCTCAACCAAATGTTATGAAACTTATACAAAATGCTTAGTTCCACAAAACACAGAATTTGGGTGGCGTCACTTTTACCTTTCTAGAGTTATGCCTCTTAACAAATGGAAATATTGCTGAATTTTTCGTTTCCATTCTCTAACTTAAGTTTGCCTTCACCAATAGTTATGAATCTTATACACAATGCTTATTACCACAAAACACAGTTCAAGTTTGAATTTTGGTGGTGTCTTTTTTACCATTCTAGAGTTATGTCCTTTACAAACGGAAAAATTGCTGAATTTTTTGTTTCCGTTCTCTAACTTAAGTTTGCTTTAACCAAATGTTATGAAACTTATACAAAATGCTTATTACCACAAAACACAGGTCAAGTACAAATTTGAGTAGCATCACTTTTACTGTTCTTGAGTTATGTCCCTTTATAACGTTATATGCAAGCTGGGGCATCATCTGTGTCCAATGGACACATTCCCCATTTATTTCACATTCTTTGCATCGCAGAAGCATTATTCAAAAGTCTGAAATTCTTTCCTGCACTTCTGCACAATTTCAGAGGAAACCCATATTACTCGCCTTCCCTTCAATGTTTGTGAATACATAAATATTCCATGTGGAGGAGTAAAGCTCCTTTTTTATCTTGCCCTCTCCCAATATAAATAGCTAGATTCTTGTCTTCTCTTCCTTCCACTCAAGACTACATTTTTATAAGACGGCAAAAAAATTTTGCGGTTGTATATTGCTATCACGTCGTCGGCGTCGTCCGAAGACATTTGGTTTCTGGACAATAACTTTAGTTTAAGTGTATGGATCTCTATGAAATTTTATCAAAAGGTTTAATACCACAAAAGAAAGGTTGGGATTGTTTTTGGGGGTGATTGTCCCAACCGTTAAGGAATTAGGGGCTAAAAAGGGGCCAAAAACAAGCATTTTTGTAGTTTCAGGACAATTACTTGTGTATAAGTATTTTGATTGCTCTAAAATTGTACCACAAGGTTCAATACCACAAGTAGAAGGTTCAGATTCATTTTGCGGGTAATTGCCCAAACCGTTCAGGAATTAGGGGCCAAAAAGGGTCTAAAACAAGCATTTTTTTAGTTTTCAAACAATATCTTGTGTTTAAGTGTATGGATGTCTCTTAAATTGTATCACTTTTTTTTTCCTTCAAGATTTAAGAAATTTCAATTTTCCATAGAAAAATTGGGAGTCACAATTTTTTTGCTAATTCTTTGTATACAGTCTGAAAACAGATTTACTTGGTATATATTGTGCAACAGCACAGTGTATTTCACAACAGCAAAGATCTTCAATTGAATATAAATTCAAATCATATAACTAATTTCAAGTTTTTTGACTACATTTATTCTGTGTCAGAAACCTATAATGTGTCAAATATATTTAATTACAATCCAAATTCAGACCTGTATCAAGCTTGAATATGTGTCCATTTTTGCCCCAACTATTCAGGGTTGGACCTCTGCGGTTGTATCCCGCTGCACTCTGCAAAGCAGTTTATTTTACTTACAACAGATTATGGACTCTAAATTTAGGAAATGTTAAGGGCTTATATAGTTTTCCAGAATTAATTGAATGGGGATTTGGGGGGGGGGGGGGGGGGGGCGGGGGTGTCAGAAGGCACTTTTATTAAAATTTGATGGTTGGCGGTTATTTTGGACTGGTAGCCTTAACAATAATATTTAATAATCAATTAAAATTTAATGCATGGAGGGGTTAAATTTAAATAAAAGTGCCTTTGCCTTTTACCCCCAGAGGTTAAATAAAAAATGCTTATTTATAAGTGCAGTCCTACACAACAAATATGTGATCGAAAATGAATGACGATTTGATAAACTGTATGGGGTTCAAGGTGTAAGTGATATATACCATATCCATATAGAACTAATATTTAGGTATAGGATTATTTTGCAATACAGTCAGGAACAGATCCAGAAGGAGCATAGGCCTTTTGACTAAAAAAAAAAGTATGTACATTATTTTACTGCCTAGCCCCTTTTTTTCAATGGGCCCTATGTAACTCCGTTTTGGAAAATCCTGGATCTGCCACTGACAGTTGCAGGTTTACAGTTATTCAAAAAAACTTAATTGAGATAAATTAATTCTATTATTAATTTCTTGTCATTGTAGGAAAAATAAGAAGACAGAGTATGCTGTTTTGATCCATGTGACATGATTAGATTATGTATTTAAATGAGCTTGCTGTTTTAATCCATGTCATGTGATTAGATCATGTGACTGACATGTGATACATTTCATGTGATAATCAAAGCAAAATTTTCTAATGTGCAAAACAGTGCTGTTGAATGACAAACTATACATATGATAATTGCTGTTAATTGATTTTTTAGTAAAAAATAGTGTGTGCATGCTGAAATTACGATTTTTACTAGTTACCTCTCATTTTTAAGTTATCTTAAAAATGAAATTCAAACATAACAAGGTCTTGTATTTTTATTTTAAATTTTTACTTTGTCAAAACAAATATGAGACATATGAATTTCATCAATATTTAGAATAAAGTTATTAGGAGCCAAGTTGACATTAGTTTATAAAAATACCCCTTTGACAGTTTTAAGTAGCATGTATAAAGATAGCAATTATATGTTGATTGCTATGCTGGTTTTCAATAAAAGATAAAATATTTTAAAGTTGAACAGTAGATATTTTTTGTATTTTATGAAATAACATATCATGCTTGGTGCTTCTCATATAATTGCAATTTTTTATGACAGAACTTTTTTTTTGCTTTAAGTGCTTTAGAATAATTCTACTTTAATAATGCACAGAATCAGTCGTTTTATAAATAAGATTGCGGACAAGCTCTAACAAAATAATTTTGGAGTTCTTGATTTTTCTGCATTAGTGAAGAGATTTGTTAATATTCTAGAAAAATTATATCATATAAAGCCATATAGTATAAGAGATATTTTGAAAGTGCTGAAAAAGAGAAGCTAGTTACGACTCGATTGATGATAAAATTTGCATTTAAAGGTGTCATGAGTGAAATTTTCAATTCTTATCCTTTAAGAAAGTTTACATAATGAATGAAAATTTGAAGAAATAAATTGTATTAAACACAAGAAATGAATTCGAATGGCTTTCTTTATTAAGATAGATAACTCTCCAGGTTCTAATTTGACTGGCTTATCATTATCAATAGACAGAAATCGGTAGCTGCCATATTGAACTTCATCTTCATCCGACCATGTAACAATTTGTTTAACTCAGGCAAACATTTTAAAGGCTGTTATTAATTATTATGATTCTTCTTGATCTGTGTATATTGAAAAGAAACCACCGATTTTTCATCATTGGTCATATTTACTGTGCCATGTGATGTATTTGTTCATTGTATTGTAATGTAGGATTGTAACATAAATTGTAACACAACAAATAATGACATAGAACACAACAAATTATGAAATAATACACAAGCATATTATGACATGAAATGAAAACATTTAAAGGCATAGAACATAGCCTAATATTGCATGGACTATGACGTGCTTTGAAAAAACAAATAATGTTTTTATAGTCTTTTTTTTTTTAAAGTTTATATTAAACTTTTGATAACACCAATGATCATAATTTTTTACAATGGAGAATAATAGTAACTATTTATACCTTGCTCTCAGGAGTTATATACAGTGGATTCATTATTTAGCATTGTATACTAGGATTTGAGATGTACATGGAAACCTAGCATTGTATACTAGTAACAGAGATATACAAGAAAACCTTGCATTTAATTTGCAGGGAAAGACAACTTTTTGATTGATTTTTTAAGAGGTAGTGACAAAAGCTTTAATTTTTTTTCGTAAACTGTGAATAATCATATGGCATTGGATATTGCTGTTAACTGGTCACTAAAAGATTGTTGGCTGCAGCAATAGAAGTAGATAACAAGAATCCAGTTTACTATACTGGATCCTGTCTATGTAATTTTAACTGGGATTGAACAATCAATGGATGATTATAGACAGCTTTACACAGAGAATGGGGTGCATGCTGAAAGTCAATAAAACCATTGCAATGACAATAAACATAAAACCTGAAAAAATTCTTATTTCATCTCGATAGCTATAGGCAAACAAATCAGTCAGTTTCTCCATTGATTTTAAGGACCTGGTTGTATTCAGTACAATTATAACATAAATGAATAGTATAGCATGCGTCATATAGATATTACTAGGAAATTATAACAAGTTATGAAAACTGTATAAACACAACTTTGTAGTAATAAATAACATTCACATGTAGATCTCACTTAATACAATAGAATTATGTTATACATCATGAAAATTAAGTTGCTGTTTCTAAACAAGAAAGTGTGTGTACATATAACTATTCCGCTAGCTATAAGAAATATTAAAGGTATCTATACCATATTACAGGTACATGATATCTTTTCAACATGGTCAATGTTGTACATATGTGGTCATCTCACTGCAACTTGTATATGAAAGATCTTGCTATAAAAAGCTGGCTTGTACTATCATCATTCTCCTTTTACCTCATTTTGTGTATTAAATTAACTCTTTAGAAAAACTAAAATTTGTTAAACCAATTCAATTGATTGGCACTAATCCATGTTATCAAGATAGCTTAGGGATACTCAGATCAAATGAACTTGGTTTATTTTATTGATAACTGTCTTCCAGACAAATCAAAACACAACGTCTATGGAATTTTTGATGCCAAAGTAAAAAGACACTTGATCAAATTTCTGTTTAATTCTTGTACAAGATTCCAAACCACTGATAGCACATTTTTTATATTATTTAATTACTGGTATTCGAAAATGCAAAGTTTTTTTTCACACAAATTGAGGTCTAAAGACAGTGACAATTTTGTTCTTTTTCATTTTTTATGGTTGCATTAATTGAATACTACCAATGCCTTAATGTTCATAATAATACTTCAATAGTTCAAAGGTTACACAATATTTAAAGAAAATAACTGAGAAAACATATAATGTTGTATTGAGAAAAGTTAAAAGTGTCTACAAAATATATGCTTACCAATGATATGCCAGTTATATCTTTTAAAGTAGCTTAACCTATAATGGAAATGATTTTTTGACATTTTCTGATGAATATTTAATTTTCTTAATAATTGAAAAGGTTTTCTAACAATTTAAAAAAGGAATCATTTTTAGACAGAAAGAAGAATTTTGTATTTTAGCCCAGAAATTTTGTACCACTACTTTGTATAATTTTGTAAAGAATGTGTATAAATGTATTACTAATTTATTTTTTCAGTATATTGTAAATGTGACCTTTTATCATGTTTATAGACCATTTGATATAACTTGGTGTTATTTACCTTTTCTGTATTGTCTAAAAAAAAACTATAATTCTGGTCGAATATAAATTAATTTTTCATATTCAGGTTTAGGTTAAAATCTTCAATTAAAACTTGCTCCCGCCTATGATATAAAGAAATACTTTTGAGAAATATATTTGAATTTTTATCTGAATTGCTACATATTTATAAATTTTTATCAGTATGTTTATTCTATCATTTTAGTGTACTCAACAAGTTGAATTACTTAGACTTTATATTAATTTGAACATAAAATATATAATTTTGAAAACATTACAGAAATACAAATTGGTATGATTCAAAAAAGAAATTCTTCCCAGAATTAAACATGCAGTCTGTTAAGTGAACTTTGTGCTGAAGTTTTAATTACGTTTATCAAGATAATTCTATTTTACTATTAAGCTGGTACAGAGTTTATTAAGTATCTGATTCAGTATTAAATGTGTCATTATTAAAAGGTATTTTTAAGCTAACAATGATTTTGTTTTTCTAATTATATATTTCAAAAGATTGATTGTTGTGAATGCAGATTTATTTATAATGCACACTCTCTGGCAGAGTTTGAAACATGTTTACTTGTTTTTATTTATTTAATTGTATACAAAAGGAGAAAGGATATACAGTACCATCCTAGAGCAACAAAGTTGCAAATAAATTTTTGTATAAAAATAATGATATGGTCATTTCAGTTGTATAGTATGACAGTCTAGAGTTACAGTTTGTTATGATTGACACAATCCATACAGTTTTACTGGAAATATTTAGTGTAATTGATCTTCTAATTTCAGTAATCAGTCAGTGTACTTAATTAAATGTGTATTAAATTTACACCTCAGACAATACAGACGATTTCTAAAATACTTGTTGATTTCAGTTTATATTAAAAATATTATATGTTTTAAAATCAAAATATTTTGGCTAATTTGTGGTTACACAAATGAAAAACGAAAAAAATCATTTATTTCATGACTACTACATTTGTTTTTCTTTAAAATGGCTCACTAAAAGAACGATGGGTATACACCAAAATGTACCTAAACATTTAACAAGAAAACTTCTTAAGTTTATTTTGACACTCAACTATATCCCCTCCCTCTATTTGTGTTAATTATACCATTTTGTAGTTTCTGACATGCATGCAAGCCATAACATCACATTTGTATTCACATAACATATAAATCACATCATAATCTGTTGATACCAAATAGTTCGGCTTTTATGATAACTCTTGCATGTAAGATATAAAAAAAAGACACTGTCAATTTTTTACAACTCTTATTCAATTTTTTTTTCACCTCATATCAAAGTAAAATTTTGTAAAATAAATCTGGATAAATATTGAGAAAATTGTGCATGGCTTGATTTGAATGCATACAAGGCAAAATAATTTTCAGATTTCTTTTTTTATTTAAAGATAAGAATATTTTTTACTGGGCGATGTTTTTATTAAAGTACAATATCAATTATTTTTCAAAATTAGAATTCACAAAAAGAGTTTTTTTTCAATAAAATCATGCCTTGCAAAAGTTTTTTAAGCATCAAATAATTAAGTCTTAATCCAGCCCGCTCTGTTAACATGCCAGATTAATTTTCTATTTACCAGTTTTTTATCCTCTTTTTTAAGGTGTTCTATGAAAAAAATGAACTTTTTCCAAACCATATAAATTTATTCAACTGTATAAAAAAATGAGCAGTTTGTATCTGGTCATTTTGATGATAAACCATCGATATTCTATCTGTCTATCTGTTGTATGTAAATGTGTATTTGTCCTTCGATGTGATGCACATATAGCAGTTACAATGTCTGTATAAATACCATATCATGCCTCCATTTTGTAACAAAGTAACACGTTTTCATTACTGATGCCATCATGTCATTTTTACAATAAATGCTAAACTGCAATGTTGTAACATTTATTTATCATATACTCATATCATATTTTTATGTCTTAAAGTTATGTTGTAAATACCATGAACCGAACTTCAAGTTATCCTGTACTAAAAAGTAAAATAACAAAAGGACCGAACTCCAAGGAAAATTCAAAATGGAAAGTCCTTTATCACATGGCAAAATCAAAAGCTCAAGCACATCAAACAAATGGAAAACAACTGTCATATTCCTTACGCGGTACAGGCATTTCCTTATGTAGAAAATGGTGGATTAAACCTGGTTTTATAGCTAGCTAAAGCTCTCACTTGTCTGAGTCTGACAGTGACATAGAATTCCATTGTATTGAAAACAATTTCATACATACAAGACGTCATTGATCCTGCTTTCATGACATTATGATTGTCCATGATTAGTCAGTGAGAAACTTTTATCTTACCAAAGTTCATAATATAGAGCTGAGTGCGGTCTCAGACAAAAGTTTTACTGCACATTTAGAACCTGAATTGCTACATGTATTGGTACAACAAACATTGTGTCTGTTTAATATTTTATATTTTTGGCTTTTACAAATTTTTTTGTGTTGAGCAATTTGATGAGGAGAGGTGAAAGATACCAAAGGGACATTCAAACTCACAAGTCTAAAAAAAATTGACAAAGTCATGGCTAAAATAAGAAAAAAAAAGACAAATAAACAACAGTACACAAAACACAACATAGAAAACTAAAGACTCAGAAACAAAAAAAACCCACCAAAAACTGGGGGTGATAGCAGGTGCTCCAGAAGGGTAAGCAGATCCTGCTCCACATGTGGCACCCGTCTGAAGGTTGGTCCAGAAATGTATTGTATGCACGGAAATGATCATATCATTATTAAAGGACCATATGTTGTTTGGGTAAAGTTAATACAATGCTTCAAAGAATACCATTTTAAAATGAATTGCATATTAAGAGAAATAATTCATTGTAACGAAGCAATCATGTTTTATGAAACTCATAAAATTATATGGTTTAAAGTAAAAACAAATTGAATCAATTATAAGAATGACTTCAGTTTTACCGTTTATTTTATTTGATTTCTGTCACAAAATGATCATCAGTTATACAATACCTTCAGTCTTTCATTCCCATTATAGCTAGCAAACAATATTGTTTGCCTATCTCAAATCTCACTGAAGATGGAACAATAATAAAATTGAGGATGGAAATGGGGAATATGTCAAAGAGACAACAATCCGACCAAAGAGCAGATAACAGCCGAAGGCCTCCAATGGGTCTTCAACGCAGCGAGAAAATCCTGCACACGGAGGTGGTCCTCAGCTGGCCCCTAAATAAAATTGTGTACTAGTTCAGTGAAACTGGACGTCACACTAAACTCCAAAACATATAAAGGAACTAAAATTAAAAAAACATACAAGCTTAAGACTAACAAAGGCCAGAGGCTCCTGACTTGGGACAGGCGCAAAAATGCAGCGGGGTTAAACATGTTTTGTGAGATCTCAACCCTCCCCCTATACCTCAAGCCAGTGTAGAATAAAGAGACACATAGCAATACGTACAGTAAAACTCAGTTTAAAGGAAGTCTGAGTCCGATGTCAGAATAGGTAACAAAAGAAACTAAGCAAAATGACAATGATACATAAATTAACAAAGGACTACTAGCAGTTACCGACATGCCAGCTCTAGACCTCAACTAAACTGATTGAAAGATTATGTCTTTATCATATGAAAATCAGGTACAATCCCTCCCGTTAGGGGTTTAGTATCATACCATCATAACATAAATGAGAAGAACATAACCCGTATCATGCCAATAACTGGTTTTAGAATAAATGTGTTTATTTCCGATGCAAAGACCCTATGAGTGAATCAATATTAATACCACAATATGCAATCCTTAATGATCTGACAACAGTATCGTAACTATTACCCTTCCGAATAAGTCTGTTTAAAGGTTTGGTTAGCTTTTGAGGTGAATGCCGACATTTTTGTGCTTTGTAAAGAATATTACCATCAAATATTGGATGTGAAATACCTGAACGTATAAGATGTCTGCATGTTGATTTATATTTACGAATGATGTCCTTGTACCGATGATAAAATTTAGTAAATGTTTTGACTAGTTTGTGATATCAAAAACCCTGGTGTAATAATTTTTCAGTAATACAGAGATTTCTTTCGTTGAAATCAAATACGTTGTTACATACACGAGCGAATCGAACAAGTTGAGATATATGAACACCATAAGATGGTGACAAGAGAACGTCACCGTCTAAAAATGGATAATTAACAATAGGAAATGAAAAATCATCTCTTTTGTCATAAATTTTGGTATTAAGCTTCCTGTTAAAGATATAGATATCAAGATCCAGGAAATGGATTGTTAGTATTAGCTTTATTTAAAGTCAGTTCGGCAGGATAAATCTCTTTAGTGTACATACTGAAGTCCTCATTATTAAGGGCCAATATATCATCTAAATATCTAAAAGTGTTATTAAATTTTTGAATCAGATGTTATTTCAGCAGTATTAGAGATGTTAAAAAGTACTACCAAATAAAATAATAAATATCAAAAAGGTGGAAAAGATGACCTATGTGTATTTGCCTTATATTCTTAAGTTTGAAGTATGTCATGTGAGTTGTCTTCTATCTTATTTGCATGGTTTGTAGACTACGGAATCTATATGAAGTTCTCATGATATAAAGAAATTTGGACAGGAGCTTGTTTAGAACGAAAGCCTTAACTAAGCTTCTGTCCAAATTTCCTAAAATTCCATGAAGGTTTGACAAAGTTATTGATGACTCACTGAACAACTTTAACCTAAGACTAAATCCGAATTTTAACTGTAAACAAACTAAGTCCATTTATCAGTAAAATAAGGGAAAATGAAAATAAATATTTTCCAAATTTTGCTCTGGATACTGTCTTTTGATTATAAACAAGCTTCTGTCCAAATTTCCTAAAATTCCATGACGTTTTGACAAAGTTATTGATGATTGAAAAACTTAAACCTCAGACTGTATTTACTTGATAACTGTAAAAAAAACTAAGTCCATTTATCAGTAGATAAGGAAAAATTCAAAAAGTAAATATTTTCAAATTTTGCCCTGGTTACTGACCAAAATACAGTATTCAGAGCAAAATTTTGAAAATATTTATTTTCATTTTTCCGTATTTAACTGGTAAATGGACTTCATTTTTTAAAGGCAGTGCTTTAATGCCTTTCTAGCTGCCGTGTTAATATTTCTTTCCGCGATATCCAACTTATCTACGTGGGGGGTCATTTAGCTCCAAGTAGATCCGGAAAATGTTGATTCTCTCCTCTTCTTATTGTGGTATAAAATGTTTTTTGTCTCATTTCATTTACATTGGGAAATAGAGAAACGATCATTGTGTTTTGTTAGTTTTAAAAACTTTTGATATATTTGTATTTTACATTATAAGCAGTCAACCGATTGACAAACTAGAATTATTTGAACTCCTTGTGGAAAGAGGTCGGGTTAATTTCGAGTGTTATCTGCAATCTAGATGTTTATAAATCATTTCAGTCGTTGATATAATAATTAAAGGTCGACTGAACATGAATTATATTATACAATTTAAAGCGCATTTCTGTTTATGCACGCGAACCCGTCTAACGTTATTGTTATTTCGCAGTTATATAAAGTAGCAAATTATCGTTCCTGAATAGGTGGCGCCGTGGTAGCCGATCCTGTACTTCAACTTCCGGATTCAGGACATGCATTTCCAAATGACTTAAAAAGAAGGAAAAGTTGGATCAACGCCATGGCCCATACGAAGATTGGACGAGAACACGATGAAATCGTGCACGCGGAGTCCATCTCAATCAGCTGTTGTTTGCAAGGCACATTTTACTGAAAAAGACTACGTGCAGAAAACTATTCATGGTAAAACTCTATTTTCTTTTTAAAATATATAGTTATATATGTAATCGCCATGCGAATAAACCAAAGTCTGTTTACAACCGCGATTATCGTTTTAGAATAAAAGGGGGTGGTTAATTCAAGACGTCATAATTTTTTGGATTACGATTCAATGTGATCTGTTTGAGATTTTTTGGTGCGTGCTACAATTATAATGATTTCTTACAAGAGGTATATCATACTGAGAATTATTTTAGCAGTAATTATGCTTATGTAGTAATGACAGGAATGCATAAGCTATGCCTCATAGACTTTCTTGAAAAATATCAATGGCAATGTTAACAGGAACAAAACAATGACATGCTCTCATCTATATTATAGTTATTTAGGTACAAACAATGTATGTTTGTTGCATACGTCTCTCATTGTTTGTCCTTTGGATTTACATAACATACATTTTGATGTACATTGAATCAGGCTAACATAGTTTTATCCAGATTGTAATGAATAAATCTAGTTTATATTTTGCCAGGTTACGAGTACAAAGGAATTATAGTTATCTCGTACCATTGTAAACTCGTACCAATGTCAACTCGTACCACTAAACAAAAACTCGTTCCAATGCAAACTCGTACCACTGCTAACTCGTACCATGGTAAATTCATACCATTGTAAACTCGTACCAACTTATTTAAATGCATTCAAATGGTGTTTATTGATGAATATATACTTTAATTTCACTCAATACCTCTTAAGTCTGTAAAATGTATATAATTTGAAATTACAATAGCCAATTTGTAGCTAATTTTCCTTGTCCAATTGGATAGAGAAAACCGTGGCAGATTGGCTTTGTTGTCTCCCTTGAATAGACTCTTTTTTAAACTTTTACTGACAACTATTTGATTTAATTTTTAATCATTCCAAATCAGTAACATTGAAAAGATTTGGGTATTTTTCTATTGTTTCTAAAAGGAATTTTATTTAATGAAAGAATTTATTGATTGTGTTTTAAAGGTTTAAAATTGTTTATGACCAACAGTTAGAAAGTATGAAATTTATTTTTATACAATATTCAGCACATTTCAGCAGAATATGACCATGCTTATATGATTATACAAGTTGATTAGTTA